AAAAGGAAGAAAAAAGAAGAGAAGAAAGAAAAAGGTTTATTTGTTCACCACTTTCCCCCCCGGCTGCTCGAGCAGGTTACTCCAAACCACAAAACAAGCCGGCGCCGCAGGCTCGCCCCGGCGTGCAGGGCAGCAGCTGAAGGGAGCAGCCGGGACTCACAGAGCTGACGTCTTTACTAGGCGTTATTCCTTTATTTTGCTGCAAAATGGTGTTTACATACAGATAAAAGAAATCGATTTTAGTTTAGCACCGCTCATTCTCCGGGGAAAGAGAGGGTAAGAAGCAGGAGAAAATCTATATAAAAAGGAGAAAGAAAGGTAAAAAGCTGTTAATACAGGTTTCCGTGCTGGTCTGGCTTCTCTTCTTCATCTTGACTAAGAACTCAGCGTTTGCCAATTTACGCAGGGATCCTACGCGGTTCGAGAACTTGGTTTAAATGGTAAAAAAAACCCCCACGCTCCCCGCGTTCCACTCGCGAATACGCTCTACTCTAGGGGTGAACACTCCGGGCACAAGTTCATGCAGGAACGGGCAGACTCTGCTCTAGTACATCGAAAGCGCCTGCTCACGCATTACTACTCTTTTCTTTTTCATCCGCCGGTTCTGAAACCAAATTTTAACTTGCTGATCGCTTAGATTCAGTCTGTTTGATAGTTCTTTCCTCTTCTGTCGGTTAATAAACTCATTGAGGAGAAACTCGTTTTCCAATTCAGCAATTTGTTGTTTTGTGTAAGGTTTCCGTTTCTTTCTCGATCTCCCCTGGGTGGGGCACCAAGGCAAACCTACAACAAACACGTCGAGAATTTAGTGGAACGGGTCTGGGTATTAAAGAGAGTATGAAAAAAAAAACCAACCAGCCAACCCAAAACCCAAACAAGAAAACCCCAACCAACCCGCAAGACAACAGGGGTAAAAGAGGTCGGCAGGACCCGGCAAAGCACATCTGACAGCACAATTTCTATCTACCTCCGAGTCGGATTAAGCGATTATCGCTCCGAATGGGTTAACGGGGGGTTTACAAAGCAATTACAGGCATCTCTTAGAAAGCAAGCAGCTCTAAGTCGCCGCTAACTAAAGCGAGACATTTAAGGCATACCATCCTGCACTGAAGGTCTGAGGCATGACTGGACTGCTGCGGGCTGAACTGTCAGGTTCAAGTTGACGGAATTCTTGATGTCCTCCTTTAAGCTGGACGTGCAGGAATTCACTTCAAAAAGAGCAGCCGAGCCGTGCAAACTTCTCTGCAGGCTCGAGTGGTCATACTTTACGGGCTTTAAGTTGGCTGCGTGAGTAACGGTTGGGTCATTTGCAAAAGATTGCCTCTGCCTGCATCTCTCCTCTTGCTTGGAGCTCGCATCGTGGGCGTAATATTTATTGTTGTCTTCCAGGCACTCTTTGTTGCCGTTGGAGCTGATGTTGATTGGAACGGAGCCGGGGAGGTAAGGCTGCGCCGCGCCGCCGAACGCGTGGCTCTGCGGCGGGGCTGCGCACGAACTTGAGCAAGTCCAGGGGATCGAGCTCCGGGGGTAGGAAATGGTGGGCAGAGCCGCCAATTGACTGCCATTAGCCCGCAAATTAGGAAAATAAAAGGAATCTGGAGATTGCAAATTCAAGAGAGAACCAACGTAGCCAGATCTGTAGAGACTGCGATCACACATTTCCAACAAAGGACTTCAGCTGTTCTTACAGCAGTATTTAGTTACAACAGGGAATAAGCGGAAAGCCTGAAACGATTGGACGAAACTTTGCAGACAGGTTCTTCAAAGCCGGTAATTTCAGCACCGCCTCCAGCCACCGAGCCGCAGACCCCCCCCTTTTTTTTTTTTTTCTTTTCCCCTTCTCTTCCCCCCCCCCCTTTTTTAAAGTCTTATGATAACACTTGAAATATGAAAATACCGAGCTCGCAAGGGGGAGGGGAAAACATGGTCTCCGCTTCTATAAAAGTGTCCGGGGCTGGCTGGCAAAGCTGCGGTGCAACGGGAAAGATGAGGGGAAAACAAACATTTGCGGAGCCGCCGAGGGGCCGGGGCCGCCCCGGGCGCAGCCAGGAGCTGTGGCTGTTTAGGGCACACGCGTGTATTTCTGCCCCTGCACAGGCGAGTACACCTTGTGCGTGAGCGTGTGTGTGCCCAGAACACGGATTTTCTCCGTTTTGTATACGCGTTTGTTTTAATTGAGAGCAACATGATACGCGTCTGCATATGCTCGCAATTAAAATCTTAATTGATCGGATATTACCAGGATCGTCATCCTGGTACGCTAATGACCAGTACGCTCTCAGGCCCGCCTGCCCTTTTTACCCCTTTTACTTTTCATCCTCACTGCGAAGCAAAGACAAGTTTTTCTTAAACAACGCTTCTGAAGACCGGGGTTTATTTTGCCTTTCAAATAGAACCCAACAAACATCAGCAAACCGAGAATAACAACGAGCAACCCGCCGAGATGGATGGATGGATGGATGAATGGATAGATAGATAGATAGATAGATAGATAGATAAATAGAATCGCGAGGCTGCAAGAAAGAAAATGCCCGGCCCTGCTCTGCAGCTGAGAGGCTGTGAGCGGAGCGGCGGGCGGAGGGGGGGTCAGCCTCAGCTGGGTACACCGCTGCTATCTCCCCAGTTGCATACGAGGAATTTTTTCTCCCCTGACAAGAAAATTATTCCTTACAGCGTTATTACAGTGTTATTTGCAGTGGTGGAGGTGGGGAGTTATACACACTTCTACATTTTTGAGTGATCAAACGAGAGCCCGGTTATGGAATAATTCTTTCCCATTTTTCCCAGGAATAAATACGAATAAAATCAGATCTGAGAGCATCCTCCCGGGAGGCCGCTCGTGTCCTTTTCCAAAGGGTGCGGGTGGGGGGACAGCGTGCTTCCCAGGCAGGCAAGCCCAGGCCCCGTGTGCTGCACCCAAAGGCACCCGCGGTGGGGCAGGGGCTCCCCAGACTCCTCGGGGGCAGCGCCCCGCTCCCGGCACCGCCGCCCCGCAGCCCTGCGGGAGACTTCGGAGGTCCATCCGTCACCCGGACCGGGGGGTCCTGTCCCCGGCCCCTTTTCCAGGAGACTCTGTCCTGGTCCGAGCGAGCCCAGCTTCAGGCAGAGCCCTAATGCCCGGACTCGGCGGCTTTCGTTACCTCGGTTAAAAACTTTGAGCCTAGCTAACAGGTAGGGTTAATTTTCCGTGCGGTTGCCCTGTTAATCATCGTTTCAACCTCGGATTTATTTCTACGCCGAGATCAGAGACGCTGCCCCTCTTGACATTCTCCTAATCAAATTCGTCTTTCTGTTTAATGGGAAAATGGGGTAAATTCTGCAGTAATTTCACTGCCCTGGAAGAAATCTTTAAATGATTGCGCTCTCCTAGACCACACAGGACCACACAAGCACCGCTGGAGGATATTACTGACCACTGCCTTTAATTTTTATTGTTTGAGTTATGTCTACCAATTGAATCTCCCTCTTATTAGCTTAGTTGTTTTCTGCTTTTTTTCTCCCCAAGAGGATGGGTAATAGTTTCTTTTCACAATCCCCTCTTCCGAAAAAGCTGACTCTGGTTTTCGGTTCTCGGAAGACAGAAGGAACACGTTGTGCTCGAAGACTATATTTTTGCCCGCAATAAACACACAAGGAATGGATGCGAGTTCCCAGTTACCGGAAAGAAAGGTGACACTTCGAACTAACTTTTATGGGCTTAGAGAAAACAGAGCTTTCAATTAATGCTCAACTCATCTGTAGTTGCTAATTAACAGGGCGACGAAAATATGAAAAGGAAAATCTGGAGTGGCTGGAGATACTCACAGCTGCGCAAAGCGGTGTTTGTGTTTAAATCTGCAGGGAAAGGGATTGACAGAAGCAACTTGTTCCCGGGGCGGCCGCGGTGCGGAGAGCCCGGCCCGAGCTCGGGCTGGTATTTCTAGCCGCAGCCGG